GACATGTTAGAATGAACTTCTGGTACAAGTTAAAGAAACAAATTTAGATGAAGTGGAATCATGGATGATTCTGGAAATCAAGAGTGATTATTATTAGCAGCAATATGACTAAATAACTGCTTCACCATCTGTATTTATTAAATATTGACTGTTTTAGGCTGGGTCTAATGCTTTAGATGGATTTCTCATTCTATCCTCATACAGGTTTTAATTAACTGCTATATAGCACTAATATATAATTGTACTCATTTTATAGATAAAATATGATTATTATAAATAGTGTATGTTATTTAAGTAGAAGATTATGGACTGGAACTGAAACAATCTGACATTTGAGTTCATATTCTTGATGATTTTATTTTACTGGCTTTCAGTACATAAAGTGGAGAACAGCATAGAGTTTCTGAATATTCTTTGGAATAATGAGAGTAAGGTAGGGATGAGATTAATCTGTGAGTCATATGTAAGATAAACCTAATCCAAATGAAAAGTCTTGAAGTACATGTAGTACTGGAATTTTAAAATAGTGACAATGGGAGAATGGGGAGAGTAGGGTGCTTCCTGAGACACTTCAAAGGAGAAGATACCTAACATAACATTTTTAGTCTTGTCTCGCTCTACATCTTTCACATAACTATCCAAATTGGAATGCCCATCCTCCTCATCTCTTTCCCTAGATATACCATTGTGACTTTGCTCATAATATATTCTCCAGGATGATTTTGATAATCAAATTTCTCTGTTGACATACAAAATAGTTTTTAAGTTCTATCTACACGTTTCTCCCTAGTTTTTATTGACTGGCATTCTCACAAACATTGAAATAATCTTCATTTGAATTTTCAGAGGATTGCATCTATCTTGTGTGCAAAAGGAACTGTTGTATATTACCATATTTTTTGTTTATGCTTTGTAAATCAATAGAATATAGAAAAAATATTTTGTAGTGCATATTGAATATAGAATTTAATCTACCACACTTTCTCATGTTCTTAAGTATTTGTTGAATGAATAAAAACTAATCAGTACATCAATAAATGAATAAACAATTTAATGATTTAATGAATAAAGGAATTACAAATTAATTCCTTGGCTTTTATCCCAGATACCAGTACTTTCCCATTTCCTTGAATTTGTTCTAATCCTCCCTTATTCACCTGTTCTATTACTCCCACAAGTGGTTCCTACCCTTGTGTGTTAAAATACAACAAATATTGATTATTTGAGACCATCCAAATAAACATTGATTGAAAATTTGTCAAAAATATTTGTTCAGTCTATCACTATTAACTCCCTTAAGTGGTTCCAAGTTAAGCAAATAATAAATCCCGTAACAATGTGCTATTATTTTCAACATCACAAAGTCCAAATTTAGCACTCTATATGTCACACGACACATATAGCTGCTTACTCTCATAAGTTCCAGCTTTTGGACATCTATCGCACTTCCAACAAAGGAATAATTGTAAATGGAAAAATCATTCATATCCTTATTCCATTTAGGAAATGAGAGTTACTGTCTGAGTTTGTGCAAAATCATTAATGTTAATTACTGAATTTCTCTTTTCTTTTAATTCATAATTTTCTCTCTGTGTGAACTTTTGGTCCCTTTAAAAATCACCATTTCTTGATTGCTCATCCATGCAATACATAGCAGCTATATTAATGATATCTCAAAGGTGCACTGCACTGATACTGCTATTTATGCTGCTCTCTGGAAAAAAGCATATTTATTCTGTCCAAGCACCCATGAGACATGAAAACTATTCTTTGTTCAGACTCATAGTGGATAGTCATTTTAAAACTTCAATTACTATTTCAGCATGTCCCTTCTATTACTGTTTCCAGCCCCACAGATAGTAATTTCCAGCAGCAAAATGTATTTTATAAGCCATACACATATGTACTTTGCAAATAATGAACAAACAAAGTGATGTAGAAGTGATTAATAGCTGCAGAAATGATGTAAATTTAGATGAAATTATTATCAATATATGAATGAATATTGAACATACAATTTTTATACCTCTCAGCTAATGACTGTTTGTACATGACACCACCATCTATCTTGGAATCTTAGAAAAACAATCATACATTAATATTCTACAAACATTTCTTGAAATTGAAGTTAGTGCAGAGCTGTTCTTTGTGTTGTACAGTTTATGGAAAATAACAAAATAATATAACACATTACTTCTGCCTTGGAACTATTTACAACCATAAATATGATTCATTCTTTTTATACAAATGAGTCTTGAGTGAAAAATGGTTTATAGTCTGAATTTTATATAGAAATTCCATGATCTGGCTATAACTTGTTGAGTCAGATTTTTGTTCTCTTGTTAACATCAGCCTCCTTTTCTTGGGCATATGAACTGTTTTCACATTTTTATTTTAGTACCAAAAATGCACCCATCTAATTTATGTCACATTGAAGTAGGATACTTGAAACACATGATTTTGAAGCCAGTAATGGCTAGAATTTCATCTTGAGTGGGAGACAGCACAAAAAATCAGGTTGTTGCCATCTACTATTCTGTTTAATGCCAGGATATCAATATAGGTAAACCCTACAAAGCATGTTACTCAGTTTTTACTTTATAGAGAAAATTCAAGATGCTTTGTGCTTCAAAGCCAGAAAAGGTTTGCTTTGCTTTAGCTATTAGTGTACTTGCATTTAATGAATTTTTGTGGGTATATGTGTGTGTGTGTGTGTGTGTGTGTGTGTGTGTGTGTGTATAAAGTGGTCAAATTTCATAGATTTGGCAGGTACAATGTTTAAATCCAATATGTAAACCATCCTCAAAAGTTGTTTACACAACTGTATGTAAATTTTGTTAAGTGTCATAGGAGTATTTTTTGCCTTTTCCTCATCTTTATTTTACTATTTATTTTTAATGTTATTATACTCTATGTTATTTTTGCAAGCTTTTAAAAATTAGAAGGATAATGAATAAACATATACATATGACAGGAAACTTCTACTTCAACCTGAGAATTTCTCTCTCTGGGTTGTCATTGCCAAGTGAGTAGAGTGTGTCTGGTGCTTCTAGATTATCCTTTACTCATCCCTCTTCAATGCTCTGAAATCTGGCTTTTCTCCATTTTACAAAAAATCTTTTAAAAAGTCTTTGCCATTTTTCAGCCATTTGAGCTTGGGAAAGTGGAGTTTTTTAGTCCTTATGGTCTTCATTTCTAAAATGGAGGTGGCAATGCCTCCATCAGTTTGTTTTGAGGATTAAATGAGATAAAGTAAACACAGTAGTTAACAAAATGCCTGGCATGCAGTAAAATTTAAAGATGGTGCCAATGACGACAATGTTATAGAATCTGTGAGTACTCTCCCACATAGCTATGTTTTCAGTTCCTTTACATTTATTAACTGCACAAGATTATTCTTCTTGAACATCATTTTGTACTCCTTCTTGTCACTTCCTCCTTCTATATCCAGTCAATCCTGAAATACTTTGTTTCATTCCCTTTATAGTAGTCTCTGATCTTCGCCTCTCAATTCTCCTGACATCATCCTCACTCTATCTGAGAAGAATCTACAGGGTATGGTGATTCTGTAAAAATGTTCCCTGAGGGAGAAGAACAGCTAAAGGAATCATGAGTATGGAGCTACTAAAAAAAAAATCCGAAATGCCTGATAAAAATAGCCACCAACTAACAAATGATTGGGAAGGTCAGTAGGTTCATTTTCAAATACAGCTTTAGAAAGTTTAGGAAGAAAGAGCCTCATGTACTTCATATGGAAGCATTTCATTTGAAGAAATTGTGAGAGTGGGAGCTAGACAAAGGATGGGGGTGGGGGGAAGATGGGTTTTCCTGGCTAGTAACAACTTTAAAGAAGAGGAAAATGAACAAGTGAACCAGATGGCAAAGAAGCAATCAGAAAGTGGGAAAAGTGTGTAACAATGTGGAAGCCAAGAAAAGCTACAACATTTTAAACTATATTCATACCTTGTCTCAATGAAATCACAGTGATCTCTAAGCTTCACACAAATCATTGACTAAGATTTAAAATTGAGAAGTATCTTTAATTCTACTGGCAAGAACAACAAATCCTTGCTGTTGGGAATCTATCTAACATCAATGAAATGCTTCTTGAAAACACTTATGTTTATGTCCAATGATATTCACATATTAGTTTTATAAAGTCTGAAGATTATGGTATTGAAACAAGGAGAAATCACCTTGCCTTATAATAATTATTTTTTACTGTGAAATGCTTATTAGAATTCAAAGTCAGATGTAATGAATACATTTTAATATATTTGAATTCCCACTAAAAAAATTAAAAGATATCCTAAATTCATTGGTTTAGCACCTTTCTTGTTTCCTTCCTGAACACTTAATACTTCAGTTTCCTTTCATAATATTTTTCTCTATATCTGAAATTGTTTTGTCTTGAGTCAGTGTTTTGTAATATAAATATAAACACACACGTATATATAAACAATTGCTATCTCTCTATTTACCTATCCATCATCCATTTATCTATCTACTTATCAATATAAACACACACACACACACACACAATCTGCAGTTACTGGTTATATGTAAAGCCAGAACACTCATTGGTTTGTCTGAGTTTAATCTAACTATAGAACTTGAGCTTCAACTGCAAAGCTAGCACATCACCACCATAAGAAATTAAACTGCCAAATTCTACAAATGGAGACAGAATTATGGTAAAAACAAACTCATATTAATGCATAGATAGGGAGCTAAATTGTCATTTTTTTAAAAAGGCCAACAGAATTTTCAACATCTTATAGTGCATACTCTAAGTTTCAGTCTCTTGTGTGATTGTTAAATCAGAAAGTCCTTGGCAATCTAACACATTGTTTTATGGATTTTTAATATTGTCAAATATATGAGCTAAATGATTTCCTTAATGATTACAACTGAAAAAATTAATTGCGATTTATACTCAATGAAACAAAAATTATTAAAATATATTCAAAGACCATTCCTGTTTTAAAAGTCTTCTTTACCTTTACATACAGGCCTGTGGTCACTCCAAGCAGCAAAAACTTCAGCTATCCTTTGACAAGTAATGCTCTTTGCCCCCTGTAGGACATAGTCTTCATCACAAGAGAACTGAACAGTCGATCCAAGGCTAAGATTGAACAAAGGATTAAAAACTGATTAGAAATACATCACATGATACTCCATATCTACTGGTAATATCCAGTAGTTCAAATATATACCACAGTGACAAAAAATGTCTAACTGGGACACCAAATTATGCAAGTAGGACTTATTCGCCTGTGCAATAAAAGTCAAAAACAGATTTATCTCATTCAATAAATGCACACATTGGCATTCAAAGCTACTGTCAGTTTGAATTACCTTGTTATTTGTTATAGAAACTAAGGAAAAATAATTAAGTTTGCTATCCTTATTAGATGGCAAAAAATAAAAGGTTGACACCCTGACTTGAATCCCAGTTCTCGAATGCCTCTCCAGAGTCACTTTATATTCGTACGTATTTAGACATGTCTTTGGATATCCATGTATACATATAGATACATATTTATGGCTTCAGATTTGGGTTGACTTTTTTCATATAGAGCTCGGGCTGTATTTGGTGATATAAATTTGCCCACCATTTAATCTTTAACTGATTGCAATTTGGATTTTGTTCTTCCTTCCACTGAAAATGAAGTTGATAACCTTACTATCTAAACAATTCTTAAGGTAAAGGGTAATAAATGGATGTTTTCCTGAAATGAAAAACTGAACATGCATTTTCTTTCTTAAAGTCCTTAAAATATAACCCACTAGCAAAATAAAATCCAGGTTTGCTAATGTGTCATAAAAAACCCTCCAGCATTAAGTCCCCAACAACTTCTTGTCATCTCTCACCCTAGCCATACATGGTCAGCATCTCCAGTGGCTAACTGTATCTATGCACTCCATTCTCTACCTAGAGAGCCTGTATCTCTATGCTATGCCTGAAAAGCTCCTGTACTGCTCCTTTGACCTTGTTATGCAGGGAAAACAAATGATCACATCTGTAATGTGATCATATAATTCTCAAGAGCAACATGGTGGACACTTTGCAAAGAAATTGCAGAAAGGGAGGCCAGTAAGAAAATAATTCAAATAATGTAGGCTAAGTGTCATCAAATCTGCAGGCCAAATCTCTTCTACTACCTCTTCTTGTTCAGCCCTACCACTGGTCTTGACAGTTTTAAATAATTGAAAAAAATTATAAAATTTAATATTCAAAATATTAAATTACTTTCTAGTCAAGTTTTCATAAACATAAACAAAGTTTTATTGGAACACAAGCAGGTTTTTCATTTAAATAAAGAAGCCAGGAAAGTAAGGTGATCAGAGCATCAAAAATGAAGGAGAGCTGTGCATGAAATAAAGTCAAGGAAGCATTTATGGATTTAGGCAGGTTGGTTACAACTTTGTTTGCTAAGGTAAGGATATTGATCTTAATCTAAGAGTACTGGACAATGATTAGAAGACTTCAAGTAAAGTGAATAACATGGTTTTTTTGTGTTTTAAAGTGATCGCATTGGCTGCTGAGTGAGGAATACAATTTGAGGCCGCAAACATAGAAGCAGAGTTTGGTTAGTGAACTATTGTAGTAATCTTAGCTCTCATGGAAATGAGATGGTGGCAATTTGTACTAGAAGGGGGAATGATTAGAAACTAAGGTTGATTATACATTGGGGAAAAAAGAAGACCTAGAATAGGGCCTGTTTCACAGCACTCATGTAATTCCTGTTTTTCATTAACTTAATAAATAAACAGTCTGCTGAGGTCATGGTATTTGTCTCAGTAACTGCTTTGTTACTATGCTAAAGACTGCCAAAGATGATCTCTATGTTTCTGTACATGGTCCCTTTCAAAATTAACAATTTCAACATTTTTTTTCCCTCTAATCGATACATTAGGGAAAGTAGTTTACATATAGAATGAAATAGAGCACTGGTTATGTAAACTAGTACAACCACTTTTGAAAACAACATGAAGCTCCTTAAAAAACTAAAAATAAACCTTGCCATACGATCCAGCAATCCCACTCCTAGGGATATACCCAAAGAAATGCAACTTAGGTTATTCCAGAGGCACCTGCACACTGGTGTTTATTGCAACGCTATTCACATAGCCAAGTTATGAAAACAGCCAAGATATCCCACTATTGATGAATGGATTAAGAAAACGTGGTATATATGCACATACATATTATATTATTTACATTATTTCCTTCAATCAGGTTAAAATGATATCCTATCTGGGAGTTATTGACTTTTAAAGTCATTTTGAATACTTCAATTTTGCTCTGTCTTGATTTTAAAATTTCATTCTCATAATTTAGTTTATGTTATAAAACTTTCACTGCTTTGTATAGCTTCCTGATATATACCCAATATTCCTCAAAGCTCTTCAATGTTCATTTTACTCATTTTACCTAATCATTATTAAGAATTTGTTCTATTTTTTCTGGTGATACTGGGGATTTTGAAGTCAGGACCTTGTGCTTGGTAGGCAAGCATTCTACCACTTGAGCCACACCTCTAGCCCTTTCACTGCAGTTTACTTTTCAAACAGTGTCTGTGCTTTTTGCAAGATGTCAGCCTCAGACTGGGATTATCCTACTTCATTGGAATTATAGACATGAGCCAGCATGACTGGCTTGGCTTTTGATACAGGGTCTCACTAGCTTTGCCAGAGATGGACTTTTACCTTGATCCTAGTATTCCGCCCCTCTCATAGGCGGGATTACAGAAGCTCACCAACAGATTCATCTAAGACTGTCCTAAATTTAGGCAATGCTTGAACATTTTCACAGTTCTTCAATTTAAAATTAAACTGTTCCTTCTCTGTGTCCATCACAACCAAATACATTTGGTACAATGATTTGGAGTTGAGATTAAACTGGAAATAATAGAAATAGTGTACAGACAGAGGGTAGGAGAAAAGGAGTGTTCTCAGAGAAATGGAAGCCTAATTTTTTACTTTAATATTTTACGTTAGATTAATTTATGCAGTGCCATATAAAAGCATCGTATATGACCCATGGTTGTCCTCTGGTTTAGAAGATTTTTTTTATCTGTTCTATGGTTTATCAAATCTGTCTCTGTCATGGGGCAAAACATTTTAAATGAGGAGATAACAGTTTCTTTCATAGAGTATAAACTGCTAATAGGATAAAACATTTCAAATGATTTATTTTTGTTGTGAGATCCATTAATTTTTCTCCAGTATTGAAGGAAAGTCTTTATTTTGGGCACCTGAAAGCCTCTCTATCCAGGATCATCTCTGCACTTGACCACATTTTCAATACAAAGATATAAAAAGTACAAAATTACCAAAAGAAGGCAGAATTCAATAGAAAAAGTCCTCTTTTCCATAGAATCCAGGCTCAGTAATAAGGAAATAGGTATTTTAAATAAATGTACTGTGCTTTAGTTTTATATGAATTATTTTGAGTCAAACTTAAAGCAAAACTATAACTATGTAAATTTCATTCAATTTGTGTATAAATAAATATTTGTAGAAAAGTATAGAGAAGTGACAATCAAGGAAGGCAAGCCATCTCCTCTGTAATTTCTCTGTCACCACTGAAGAGATATCATCCCTGCCCAGCTAAATTAAACCTTCCACTTTTGTAGGATAGTCTATCTGATAGAACATTTCAAAACAAATGATTGAATATATTTTAATTTGAATGATTTTCATTAAGCATATAATATGTAATGACATTGCTTGGAAACAAGTATTGATCTCCACCATGATTAGGCTGGTCCATGCTTAAGTGCTATCATCTTTCTGAAAATGATACTTATTACTGCAATAGCACCCTATTATACCAAAGCTGTCAGTGCAGGAAGGTAAGAGATTTTTTCAAAATATATAAATTTTCATCTATTTTGACCTAAGACAGTGAAACTAATTTTACTTACAATTAAATAAGTAAGATATAATCAAATACAAAATGAAGGACAAATTGTGCTTGGTTGAGAGAAGAGATTGTAAGAAATAACAGAACAAGGAATATTGAGAGCATTGGAAGAAGAAGGAATTATTGTTCAATTTTTTTTTTTAGGTTTTTTTTTTGTTGTTTTTTTAGTTGATTTAAAGGTCCAGATACTTTCCTGAATGAAGCAGAAATCCAACACTAAAGCAGATACATATTTTTTTAAATTATCATTCATAAATAGAAATTATCCAAGCATAAACAATGATATAAAAACTAAAGCATGTACAAGACATTTCTGTAGTAAAAAGATCAAAATATTAAACATGCAGAAAATAGTGTTTATCTACAATGGCAGTTGAATATTTTTGAAAATTAAATGATTCTCTAAATTTATTTAAATAAGTCATTTCAAAAATGAGAAAAGTACTTTGGAAAATCTGAGCTAATTTCTTATGAAAATGAGATTGGAAGTGGGCAGTTTTTATAATACAATTTTTCTTTGCTTTAAAATTACTTAAGTGATTTATAATTATTGCAGAAATGTTGAAAATGAGGAATAGCAAGACAATTTGGAAATCACTTTAAGCCTTCCACATGCTTTTTTGAATCTAATTTGAGAAATCCAGTTCTTATCTTATTGAAATGCATTCTCGCTCTCTTCCTTCTCTTTCTCTCTTCCTGTGACAACAGAACAACTGATACTCTTTATAGTAAATCAATTTCTCTACCTGGTTTTGAATCAGTCTTTGCCTCTTTCTCATTACTTGTACCAATTACTTGTAAATTATAGAGATTTCATGTTAAGAAAATGTTATCTTTAGTAGAAACAAATAAACTTATTTTCAAAATATCCCCTGACTTTTGCAAAGTAAGCCACATCTGTCTTGCAAATCTTACAGACTGGCTGACTAGAACATCATGGTTGCAGAGAGATGGAATATTGCAGATGAATAACATTGTACTTAGAAGCTGCTTTTGCTGAAAAGAACACTGACTCCTCACATAACCCTGCAAATGTCCAAAGAGTAACTAAAAGCTTGGTATCCTTGCCTCCATTTTGTATCTCTGTCCTTGCTCTGAGGCATTCTCTCCTGCAGCTGTTTTGCAGCTATTTTGGAATCCAGGAATGATGGATTTGATGTATAAACATCCTGTGAAAGGAACAAAGCTGCCCC